ACACATGCAAGCATTCATGATATGCAATCGAGTATGCAATGCAAGAAATAGTTCGAAAAGTAACTTTGCACAAAGTTACGGAATCACTCACCAACCACAACTCATGAACCTCATCCATCATAGACAATTTTCTTGATCTAGTCCAAGCCCTAGATCACAAATATCAAGAGTTAACTCAAACTCAAAGCAATCAAATGCCCTCAAAGATTGGACAGCATTTTCCCTTAATTTCCTTATTTTCCCATCCTACAATACATCACCAATAACATCTCAATTCAATCACATTTTCACATACAAATCATAGACTATAAAACACACCTAATTAGGGCCACAATACCCTTAAATCTTAACCAATTAAGAGCTCAATAACCAACCATAAGAAAGCCCCAAATTTGAAACCCTAAAACTGAAATTTTCCGCACAAATCTGAAATTTTCCACAAACAACCACAACTAACACACAAAAGCTCCATTTTACACTATCTCAAGCTATCATTCCATGGCCAACCATAATTCACCATATAAAATCAGAAAATTCACTAATAAATCAGAAATTTGTCAAACTCTACTTAAAATCATGAAATCATCCACAAAATAACATATATAACATCTCTAATCCACCAATTAACAATCAATAGAAGTAGATAAGAAGTTTCTTAGCAAGATACCTTCAAACCTCAAGAAAATTGGTAGTTTAGTGCATCCTCCTCCAAAACAACTCCACCAATAGCTTTAAACCTCCTTAGTGAGCACTTGTATGGAATAGATTGCAAAACTAGCGGTTAAAACTCAAGATTTGGTGAAGGAAATCAAAGGAAAATAAATGGAGTTTTCTTCTCTTGTTTTCCCTCTCAAACAACCGGCCAAGCAAAGGGAAGAAATGAGGGAAATATCAGCCAAAAGCAAGATAAGAACGTTGGAAAACAGCCGGTCAAACCTGGCTGCTGAGGTGCCACGCCACAATCCGGCCAAGATCTGGCCGGATTGCCGGCCGGATTCAAGGCAGTGGGTTTTCCAATTTTTTTTCAAACGGCCCTGCCAATCCGGCCATGTGAGGACCCGTAATTTGTCTTAATTTTATATTCTTTTCTTTTCTTTTCTCGTGTGCATTTTCCCTCAATATACTCAATTATTTTGATTTTTCCAGAGATTTTATAAGTGAGGAGAGTTTGTAAAACGTTTTCCTAGTTTAAGTTAGTTCGTGACAAGTTTGAAGTGCAGTGTAGACGTGGGACCCGCTAGTACGGTAAGTGCGATATATTTTTGACCACTAGTTGGAATTTTGTATTAAGTGATATTAATTTTTCAAGGTGCTAGGAGATAATTAGAGGTTACTTAGATGTATTAACCATGGAGGGACAAAGGGATAGGTTTGAACTTAAAAGGGTGCTAGGTGTTGCAATATGGTTGGATGTTGGACTTTGACCATTTTACTTTACCATTACCAAATATCAAAATTGACTCAAAAATCATCTTCATTTGCTCCTTCTTGGCCGTGAGTCTTGAGAGGAAAAGAAAGCAAAACCTTCAACTTATTTCTTCCAAATATTGCTCAAATCTTGTGATCCAACCGCTAGAATTTCAAATTTCTCCATAAAAACCCTTTGCTAAGTAAGATTAGGGCAGGTGGTGGAGTGGTTTTGGAAGAGGAGGTGCTAAGTTGCTTCTTTTCTTGAGTTTACAAGGTGAGTTGCTAAGAACTTCTTCCTTTAGTCTTGATAATGTTAAATTAGTGGCTTTAGTGGTTGAACATGTTGATTTATGGTGTGTTTATGGTTGGAAGTGAAGTTTTGATGGATTTTGATTTATTATTGCTATTTTTCTGTTTTATATGATAATCATGGTTTAGTCATGGATTGAGGGCTTGTTATAGTGTAAAGTGGAGATAGTATATGTTGGATATGATTGGTTGCGCAAAATTTCTGGTTGGTGCTGAAATTCCAGTTTAGGGATTGTAATTAACCCTGTTCTACCTGGTACTGTTTGACCTAGATAGAGGCTGAATTGGCCTTAGCATAAAACATAAAAGTTGTATAGAATGATGTTTTATAGTTTCCTACAAAATTTCAGCACAATCGGAGCACTGTACCATGTGAAATGACCAAAATACCCTTGACTACCACAACCCCTGATTCGCTGACAGTTTTCTGTTTTCGTAGAGATTCTGATTTTTGACCATGAAAATGCATTATTTGGTTTTGGAGGTCTTCATAAGGAATGTAGGTCTCTATCTTAGCTTCGAAATTCCATAAGATTCTTCTTATTTCGATAAGCGTAGTTTAAGTTGCGATCGAAACATCGAGACACGTCAAACCTGCTGTTAGGCCTATTGTCTTTCAAATTGGTTTTCGGTTGCATTATTAAACTTGTGTTGTAATTGACTATATATGAAGGGTATTGTGACCCTAATTAGACGTTTTTAATAGCTTGTGAATTATATTTGAGGTTGTGGTTGATTTGGTGATGAATTGTAGGGTGAAAAGTAAGAAAAACAAGGGGAAATGCTGTTAAAATTTTCGCAGGAACCCCGGAGCAGTTCTGGGAAATCTGTAATATCTGGATGTCGAAATATCAGAATTGAGTTCCGTTTGTTGTGTTTTAAATTAGATTCATAGGGCTATGAATCATGTAAATTTCAGTCTCTGGTTTGGTCTGTGGGATTTATGGTGATTTTTCAAAGTTAACCGAAATCGTATACCTGCTCTACCTTTTTCTGTTTAAGACAGCAATTTGAGGCTCGAATTTGATTGGCTTGTGATCTGAATCTTCTAAATGTGTCTTCTGAGAAATTTTACCCCTTTGAGTCTATTTTCCAACGGTGTAAATTTTACCAATTTCGGACTTAAGAATCCTAAGATATGATTTTTCAATCAGGGGTGTGCAAAACTGGAAAAATTCTGTTTTCTTGGAATTATTCTCATTTTCAATTTCACCTTGAGATATGAGCTAGTACATCATTGTAAGTATGATTTTGAGAGGAGTGAGGGGTTTTGGGGTCGTGTATGTCCTTAGGACCAACCGTTTTCTTTTATTCTTAAGCCGTCTTTCATTTTTCGTACTAGTATATAACTTGGAGAGGTACCTGACTAGTAATCGAACCTCATTTGTACATCCTATTTACTTGGTTTTGGATGAGGAAATTTCAACTACTTTACCTTTGTTATTCTTAGGGTTTCATGGTGATTAGGCCACTTTGGGTGGAAATTTTTGGAAGTACCTGTACTTGAACTGGTGAGTGTACCACTTCCCTAATTTGTTGCTTATCTGAGCTATCTGTGATTTCTATATACTCTGTATGAAACGAGGGTGTACTTTATCTCTCTCGTTTCTCTCACTTGGTTACTTTGTTTCCTGCATACTGTATAAGTTTGTATTCGTTCTCTGTATCTGTTCTTTGCATAAGTCTGTGACCTCTGAGCTCAAATCCTGTGGCTAGTTACTCGAGTCGAGCCGGCAAGGGCCAGGTCGATTAGATAACGAACCACAGTAGTCTGTTTTTGGGAATCTTTGGGTATTGAGACTCTTGATTCCGGTATACTCGAGTATTACCACTTCTGTTTCTGTTGAGGTGTTCGAGCCCGGTAAGGGATATGTTTGGTGGACGGAAGTTGGTGTAAAGTGGGGTCTACAGACATGGTTGTTCTTTATACGTTGACGGAGAGTCAATGAGTTGGGATCAAGTACTGCTGCCGGAAATCTCGTTCCTGAGAGCCACCTGTATCCTTTCTATTTTAGACCAATGTGTCTAACTGCTTTACTTTATATCTGGCATATATTTTTTATTTGTTAAGCATGAATTGCCATGCTTTTAACTGCTTACATGTTTGGTACATCATTGAGCGTAAGCTCACCCCGTTCTGTTATCCTTGTTTTCCTTACAGGGTTCCATGTTTTGAAATCAAGGTTTTGAAGGAAGAGTTGAGCTAGTATAGTTATTTTTTTTTGTATAGCTCCTCTGTGGTTGCAACCTGATAGTATTATGATCCAATGTTACTTTTGATTTGTAAAACCTTCCAAATATGTATATATATAAGGTGTTCCTTCATGTCTCTGTGGTGTGTGGTTGGGATTGAATGCCTGTACTTGTACGGTTCAAATTTGAGAACCTTTGTTCTATTTAGGCTTGTATTATTTTGAGATTTGAATATATGTACGTACACGTGCTAGGCTTGGGAAATTGTTATTTCGTTTATTATTGAGGTTGTACCCTGTGTTATGGGATGTATTTGATTCGAGGACTGTGGTGAGCGAGTGAGTCCTGGCGAGAGTTGGACAGGCGGTCTACTAAACCCTTTGGTTCGCCTTAGGGGAAAGTGGGGCTGTCACAGTTGGTATCAGAGCTGCTTCGCGTGGTCTCTGCGCGGAGTGAGCTTGTGCTAGTGGTGTTATGGTCCTGATTTCGTGAATGTGTTTAAAGGATTAAGTGCTCTTCTTGGGCGTAAGCTATGAACCGTGCTTATTATAGGTGTAACAATATTTATTATGAGATATGAGACTTGAGGAAGATAGGTATGTGTGTCGGGTAGGAATCTTTACTATAGATGATTTACTCTTGGGACCGGCCGGCTCGAGTCGTGAATTACCTTAGTTGGGATTCTTGTACCCGGATGCGAAAGAGATGAGAACCTGGGTTAGAAATGACTTGGGTGAATTAGAAATTGGGCACTACGGAACTTCATGCGATGTGTTAGGGTATCACTAAGGATGGTTAACCCTGCCTAAGATCGTGGACGTGGATCGTGGACGGAGCCCTGGAGGGGAAATGTTTTCGTTCGTTGTTTTGTACCTTTAGCCTAGTTGGTATATAGTACCTTTGATGACCCCGCTACTTTTATGGAAATTCCTTTTGCTTGTATCTAACTGATACCGTGTGATTTGTTTAATAAAGTCGTGTTAGATATATACCTGTCTTTTGAACTGTGTGTACCTTTTATTATCTATTCATGCATATATCTATCTTTAATATTATTTTCACGCTTCGACCATAGATCGGTTAGACCAATGAAGGGTACTCGTAGTGGACGAGTTCGAGGGCGTGGACGTAAGCAACCCTCGACTGAAAGGGGTAATCGGGAACCAATACCTGAACCAACTCCTGAACCTAGGGTTGACCCAAATGCTCAAGTAGCCGCTGCTATTCAGCGCATGACCGATCTGCTAGCCCATGTAGTAGAACACCAAGGCCAAAACCCTAATCCTCAACCTGGAAACCCTGATAATAATATAGAGGGCGAGGATAGAGCCCTTCAAAGATTTCAAAAGTTCTCCCTACCAAAATTTCCCGGAGGCCCTGATCCTGACGTGGCTGAGAGGTGGTTAGAAAAGATGATCGATATTTTTGCTGCGTTACACTATACTGAGGAGAGACAGGTGACATTTTCTGTCTTTCAACTAGAAGGAGCCGCCCGTTCTTGGTGGAACGTAATTCGAATGAAATGGGAAAGGGAACAAACCCCGAGGACGTGGGCGAATTTCATGAGAGAATTTAACTCCAAGTTTTCCCTCCTCTAATCCAAGAAAAGAAGGAAGATGAATTCATTCGGCTTCGCCAAGGAACTCAGACAGTAGCCGTGTGACACCCCGAATATTAGGAAGTTGTTTGTAAAGAAGATACTAAAGTGTATTTCTTTGGGTTTGATTTAAAACCTTATTTTGTTTTAAAAAGACTAGAAACCCTAAAATTTAAATCAAAAACCCTAATTTACTTGTGACCAACCGGTTTTCTTAAATCCCTCATATTTTAATTGAAACCCTAATTTTAATCACTGGAATTGTAAAATTCCTCACGTTTTTCTTAAAAATTCCCTTTATTTGGAAATTATTTATTTATTATAGCCCTACTACCCAATCATTCCACAATAAGTGCAAATGAATCTAGAAAGTAGGGTTTCACTTTTCGTTTCCAAGTTGGAGCAAGTTAGGGTTTTCACGTTTTTCCGAAGGGTGATTCTTCGGTATGGAGTAAGGATCAAATTTGGTGCTTAAGAGTGAATTTTAGGTGAGAAATAATATGTGATTAGAAGCAATGATAAAAGGTTAGTGAATAGGAAGTAAAAACCCTAATACGCGTGAGTTAAGAAAAAATGGTGCGAACCGACGGGTATCGATCACTACCGATTGAACCCACCACTTGACCACCACTTTCTTACTACCACATACCCTTGATATTTTTACAAAATATCCCCCCTCATCCTCAGCCATGTGACCAAAATATGTGGCCCAAAATGCAAGGAAAAGAAAGAGAAATTTGGAAGGCTTTGGTGGTGACAAGTGTCACACACCTATGGCTCTTTGACCAAACCAATTGTCTTGCCTTTTTATCTTCCATTTAGCTTCATTCTTCCTCATTTTCTTCTGGTTTGGCCGAGACAAGAGAGAGAGAAAGAGAGAGCAAGAGTTTCACCATTTCATCTTGATTTGCACCATCCAAGTGAGGAACCAAAATTCTAAACCGATTAAAGTGTGAGTTGTGACCTTGGGAAGCTAGGGGAAATGAAAATTCCAAGAGGAGGTGAAGTATTACTCTTGCAAGCTTCTTTTGTTGAGGTATAAGGTCTAACCCATAGCTTTGGTTCTTTTATTTTTGATTAAGATGTTATATAATTCATGTTTTGGTTAGATTAGTTGTGATACAAGTTGTTGGGATGATTTTTAAGGTGATATATGTAAGTTAGGGTTTGATGATTTCTGCCTATACTTGTTATATGGATGATATATGTTGTATCTAAGCTTATATAGGAGGTTGTGGTGGTGGATTGAGGCAAGAAATGAAGAAAGTTTCATTGAATCCCAAAATTCCCAGATTTCTGGAAAATTTCAGCCTTGTTCTGTCCGGTTTTATTGCATCATGTTAGAAGCCGAATTAGGCTTAGCATAAAACATTAAAGTTTTAGAGAATAATATTTTATAATTGCCTACAAAATTTCAGCCCAATCGGAGCAACTTAGCCTGTGAAAAGACCAAAATACCTTCGCTGCCCTAGGATGTTTCCAGTGATCCGTTTTAGACAGTTCATTTGTTTGCCTGTGTTTATTCACTATGATCTGTGCTGATTTAACCATTTTTCAAAACATGAAAGTTTTATTACTCTGTCTTATCTTTTAAACGCCTCAAAGAACACCTTAAACGGACTTTGGTAGCCTGAGATATGGCCTTTTAAATGTAGTACGGTTAATTAGCCGATTAGTTGGAACCTGGTTCTGTGAACTGGGAATTTGATTAGGTTACACTGGAAATTTGACCAAGTGATCTTCATGAAAGTTGTAGGACTTTGTCTTAGCTTCGAAATGGTATAATTTTTACACCAATCCGATAAGCGTAGCCTCAGATGTGTTCTTTCCGCAAAAACCCGTCAAATCTGTCTTTTGTAAACTTCATTTCCGTTATTAGTTGATTTATGTCCTTGTATTGTCTTGAGCCTATGGAATGGCTATTGAAATGCATTTGTGTTGTGCGTACCTTTGGGTTTGAATGAGAAAAATAATGAAGCCAAAATGGCTGGAAAATGAGGTAAACACAAAGGGCATGCTGCCCAAATTTACGCTCGAGAACTAGAGAACTATACTTGCAACTTGAGTAAGGACTTGGCTGAATTTATACCCTTGAGAAATAAAATAATGACTGCTCGGAGTACGTTTTCTTTGTCGCTTCGACTTAAATGGAGATTTCAAAGTTTTACGAGCAAGCATAAGTTTTACAAATATTTTACTCATAGCCTTTGGTTTAAATGTACTCTTTTCACTTCCAAAACTATACTTATACTTTGTACTAGTAGTTATTCAGATTTTCTTTGGTTCACTTAAACTTTGGAGGGGTTTAACTGTAATATTTTCTCTTGGCTATTATTAGGGTTTCTTGGCGATTGTGAGTGTTATCCGGGAGGATACTTTGGACATTATTTTGCTTAAATAGGTGAGTGTTCCTTGTTTGCTATATTTTTCTTGACTTCATGACTTGTGTTCTTGTTTGATGATGTGTTAAGTGCTTTCAAGGATTTCCAAAACGAGTTTTCTAGGCGAGCGTGTACTTGACCGCGCTTGACCTAAATGAAACATGAAATTTTCAATGATTAAATATTGAAATACTAGTTGCGCATGAATGTAAGCCTTTGTAGCTGAACTGGGCCCTTGCCCTTGTTGCTGATCGACTCGAGCCAGAAGCGGACTCGGTCGGGCGATTTGGTGACCTGGGTGAACGTTTGGTATACTCGAGTATTACCTTGTAGGTTGGTGGAGCCTGGCCAAATTCCAGGAGGGGGTGAATGAAACGAAAGAACGAGAAAGGGTTTTATTTACCAACAATGCATTTTATTTAAATGACCGGAGGAATAAGGGGAATGACAGGAGGACGAACGAACAAACGAATATATGGCTCCCTGTGAGCCCGTATCCTTTTAATGTATGTGTTATTATTGTCGCGCCCCATTTTTTTAAAAATAAACAATTGGTTTAATAAGTGAATTTTGGTTTGATTTTTGATTTGGAAAAATGGTTTTTGATTTACAAAGAAAATGAAGAAACATATGGGTCTAGATGGAACTTGAAAATGCGACGATTTGACCCAAAATAATAGTTTAAAAAGGGTTTTCGAATAAAAAATCGGAGTCGCTGTGAGAACCCGTATTTTTCCATTTTCTAGGTTTTATTATTTTTCATGGCTTGTTTTCTGCATTTTCGTAAGTAGGAAAAATTTCTAGATAATTTTAAGGAGCAGATATAGTTTTTAGATGATTTTTCTATTATCGAATAGGTTTTGAGAAATTAAGAGCGTATACCGGACGTGGGACCCGCTAGTGCGAAAAGTTCGGAAAAATTCGGCCAACTAGGTTAAGTTTTGGATACTGGAATTAATTTACCGGGTGTTAAGAGATAAGTAGAGGATGCTAAGTGGATTGGTATAAGAGAGACAAGTTAGGTAAGCATTTAAGAAAGGTGACAAGTGTCACCATTTGAGTGGGTTTACTTTAGGAAAACTATTCATGGTCTTACCATTTGACTTAAATAAACCAAAAATGACCAAAAATCATCAAAAATCCTCCATAAGTGGCCGGCTCTCTCTTTCTCTCTCTCTTACTCTAAGCACAAGGAAGAAAACTCTTCAAGTTTGCTCCAAATCATCAAAACCAACCATTGAAACTTGCAATTTCCCCATAAAACCTCTTCAATTAGTGTTTGTGAGTTGTTGTGTGAAGTTATTTGGAAAGTTAAGGTGACCAATTGCCCTCTCTCTCTTGTTTCTAAGGTGAGTTGTGAAGAACCACCCTCCTCCCTTAATTGATGCTTAAATCATGATTAGTGGTAGTATGAGATGCAATATTATGGATTATTTCTTGATTTGTGGTTGAAGTGATGAAGTTTTATTATTTTTGGAGATTTTTCTGTTTTAAAATGAACATGATTGTGTGGCTATATATGATGATTGGAAATGGTATATAATGACTCTAGGAGGTGGAAAAAGTGATTAATTGCAACCAATTTCTGGTTTGGAAGAAATTTCAGAAAATTAGGGTTTTAGTGGGAACATTCTGCCCGAATTTATATCTCCTAGTTAGAGGCCGAATTGGCCTTGGCTTAAAACATGAAAGTTGTAGGGAATTCCATTTTAGAGGTTCCTACAAAATTTCAGGTCAATCGAAGTAGTTTAGAATGAGGCAAGTTGAAATTACTATTGCTGTTCTGGTTTTACCCGAATGTAAGAATTGCGCCTGTAATTGGTTGTTTTGGCTGGAATTGCTTCCGAATTGGTTGTTGCGGCCTTCTGATGAAATGTATCCCTATTTCTTAGCTTGTATCTGGTTTTGGTATTTCTGGATTTGGACTTGGAGAGCCTGAGTTATGATGTTTCCGCTAGAATACGTTCTGTGAATCTGTTTTACGGTTTTTGGTGTAGTATCTTGTATTTTTGATCTGTTTGCACTCAAAACTGGGTTGAGTGACCTTCTGTAATGTTGTAGCCCTGTCATTTAGCTTCGAAACGGTACATCATACACCTTCATACGGTAATCGTAGTGCCCTTGGTGCCATTACCGCAAAAAGAGGTCAAAAACTATTTTTTTTTTTATTACTTATTGGGCCTTACCGGAAAGCCTTAAAGAGCTGGCTCTTTGAGCTCTTTGTGCGGGCCGAATTTTCTCCAGGTTTATGTGGGCCGGATTTTTGCCCTAGTTTTAGCCTATAAAAGGCACCTCTTGTAAGAGTAAAAGACAGATTATTACAACCAGAAATCGTGAGGAATTTTTCCTTCAAGTTCTTAATCGAACTTACTCTTGAATTCTTGAGTTCATGGCTTAGGATTCGAATCAGACTTTATCGATTAGCTTGTTCCCTAATCGTGGTGTCGCTTCATCCATCCTTATTTGCTTAAGGTTGCTGATTACCTTTGTGTGTCAGAGGTCTTGAGTTCATGAGAACAATCGAGTTCAATTTCTGTTGGGAGAAAAGATCCAACTCTGATAATTACAAGGTTGGGAGGTTCTAGGAGGGTCTTCCCCTAGGGTTGCCTATATCACTACTGGTATATTCAACTTTCTTGGAAATTGCTTAGTATCTTGGTTTAGTAAAAAACAAAATGCTATCTCATTGTCCGCTACTGAAGCTGAATATGTTGCTGCTGGTGCTTGTTGTGCTCAATTGTTATGGATGAAAAACATATTGAATGATTTTGATTTAGTATATGAATGTGTACCTATGTACTGTGACAACACTAGTGAATTAATCTGACAAAAAATCCCATTCAACACTCTAGGACTAAGCACATAGATATAAAGCATCATTTCATTCGCGATCTTGTCTCCAAGGGGGTAATCTGTGTTCAGTTTGTTTGTTCTAAAGATCAAATCGCTGATATCCTCACAAAAGCTCTTCCACTGGATCAATTTGTGTTCTTGAGAACAAAACTGGGCGTTTCAGAAAAAATATTCTAAGTTTCGTTTCTGGTCAATCTTTATCGGACGTCCGATGAATTGGAACGGACGTCCGACAGTGTTCTTCGTCCTGTTTCAGAAAAGCACTGGTTCAGACAGTTGTGTCGGACGCTTTACTTCGTTGGGACGTCCGACACTCAAAAATTGAGCCTTATAAGGCAGTTACCCATCTTACTCAGTTCATTTTCCCTCCACAGTCTTGGACGCAACCTTTCAGTTTCCTCTCATATTTAAAATTCAAATTCCTCTCTCCTCAAATCAAGTTCCAAGAAATTGACTCAACCAACACCATTACACCTCTATTGCCCGTTAACCATCCATAAAAATCACTCCTAACCCCCAACTACCCCATAGTTCCCAATTCACATGTGAAAACCCTAACTTCTCATAACTCTCTCCTTGCGACATTTCAGTGCATTCTCGTTTGCTCATATTGCATTCTTCCTCTATACACCACGTTCTGCATAAAAACACAACCACATTGCATCATGGTTAGAATCAGAGGAGGTTCTACTAGTGCCGGACGGTCTTTTAGACTTAGAGATGAGGACATTGAAATTGTGGAACCGTCTACCAAAGCACCTAAAAAGAAGATTGTGACCCGTGGTGGTAAAGTGAAGCAAACTGCCCAAAGCAAAAGGGTTTCTCCAACTGCTGAACCATCTGATGAGCAGATGGAAGAGCAAAACTCTGAAGGAAACACAGTTGGTGGAAATGAGGTACCAGAACGGGCTATCCAGGATGATGAAACTGACACAAGGTCATCTGGTAAAAGAAAAAGAACTGCAAAAAGGAAGAGCACTCCCCAATCCAAGAAAAAGCAACCTGCTGATCCCTCTGATAATCAGCAGAATGAAGGAAACATTGCTGAGAATCAGCAAACACCTGAACCCTCCACCAGGAAATCTCCAAGGACAAGGACTGAGGCTCAAAATGTTGGGTCATCTGCCACACAAACCTCGAAAAGGAAACGTTCTGGGAAGGACCTAGTATCTCAGCCCGTAACAGAACCCACTCCTCTCCCAAAATTCATTGATGATGAAGCCAGAGACAGATTTGAGTTGGTCTCTCAAAAAGGGTTCATCACCCAAAGGCTCATCCTTCCCTATGAATTTCGTAAGCTTGATCTTGAACCTGTTATTAAGCTGTTTGAATTCTAAAAATGGGTTCATCTTCTAACCATTCCTAATACCTTTTACCCTGACATGCTTTATCAATTTTTTGCTAATCTTTGAAAGGGTAACTCACACACAGAACTCATCTCTAGGGTCAATTCTGTGAACATCACATTAACACCTGACATTTGCAATTTTTTCTTTGTAACCATCTTCAATTTTTGTTTTCAAAATGGAATTTACAATGCTAAACTCATGACTTATTTTCAAACCCACTTCAATACTCCTGCTGAGGCAAGATTAGATGATCTCAGTCCTCAGAATCTGATCATCTTCACCATCATTTCAAATCTGTTAGTGCCAACTGATGGTCACAGAACAAATGCAAACAAAATGGAACTCTACCCTTTCTACTGTTTTGTTGAAAAAATCCGCATTGACTTTAGATTTGTGATGTGCAAGTTTCTGCTCAAAATTAGCACTGACAGTCGTAGGAAGCTCTCTTATGGCAAATTTCTGACCCCTATCTTTGCCCATTTTGAAATACCTTTTACTGGAAAATCACCCAAAGACAGTGCATCAACAGTTTTCTCAAAAGCTTATTTTGAAAGAAAGAACTTAAGATTTTTTGATGGCCATTGGTGCTATAAGGAGACTGTGACTGAGTCTAGAAGGAAAAACTTTCATAAAACCCCTGTCACTCCTAGGACTCCTCGTGATCAGTCAGACTATGTCTCTCCTTTCACCATTCATCCTAGAAAGTCTGCCAGCAAATCCCTCTCTTCCAATTCTGAGGTCATCTCCTTGCTTGAAGACCTCAAACAGCATGTTATGCTTATTGAAGATGGTCTCATGATGACCATGACCCCTGCCCAACAATCTTCTTTCATTGAAAAAAGGAACCTTCTTGTGTTTCCAATACCTGAAAACAATGAAAATGCTCATCAGAAAGAGTCAAGACCTGAGCCCACAGGGCCAACTACTGGTACTGAGGCCATACCAGCTTCCAGCTCTCAGCCCAAGAATAAAGGCAAGGCTCCAGCTACTGTGGAGGCATATGAAGAAGACGATGAAGAAACTGAGGAAGAAGTGGATCCTGAACAGTTTCGTCTGGCCAGGAGGAGGCCTGGATCATCTAAAATCACTATCTAGGCAATGCACTTTATTTTTAGGACTATAGTTCATCCTTTGCACTGCAAAACTTTTCGTATGCTATGTACTAAGAATTGTACTTCTGATCTGTACAACTGGATGTTTTCTAATGTTTATGGATGATATGACTGAGTGTTTCTGATGTTATCTGATGTGAATGGATGTGTTTGTTATGAATGAATGTTTCTGATGATTGTGCAGAGCATGAATGGATTTTGCTGATATTATCTGATTAAAAAATCTTTGTTGTCAAATTTTTTGTTGCTAATGTTTCTGATGGATTGTGCTGATGTTGTCTGATTTGCTGGTATCAAAATTGATCAGACATGGCATACCTGCTTTTGTGATGACAAAAAGGGGGAGAAATGGATTAGCACTGATGATGTAAAGAAATTAGTTAGGGGGAGTCAGTTTTTAGGGGGAGTTGTGTTTCTTTTCGTATACTCATGCACTTCGTTAGGGGGAGCTGTAATCCCAGCTCATATTTCTACTTTTCTTTTTGCTCTATCCAAGTGTTTTGTCATCATCAAAAAGGGGGAGATTGTTTATCTCAATTCATATCTTTTGATGATTACAAAACAAACGGATGTTACTAATACTTTTTGTAGAGACTCTTTTCAGAAATGGCACTAAACAGGTCTGAGGACTTAGAGCAAAAAGGAAATCAAAAAAGGTAAAATGTGCTGAGGAAGATGTCGGACGCACAAAAGGAGAGTATCGGACGTCCGACATCCATTGAGTAACTTCAGATGTATGAAGAACTCAGACTCGGACGTCCGAAGAAGACAAGTCAGGGCCTTTACGATTACTGATCACGATCGGACGCTCAACACCTGAGCATCGGATGTCCGACAAGCGTTGCTGCTGTGACAGCCCCACCTTACCCTAAGGCGAACCAAAGGGTTCGGCGGACCGCCTGCCCAGCTCTCGCCAGGACTAACGGTTCGGTATAGAACGAACTAATACATCCCGAAACTTACCAACGCGGGTAAACAAATCAAAATGTTAAAATTACAAAAAAAAAATAAAATCGAAGTCGGCTATGAATAGTAACCGACCCGTCAGAACCCAACCAAATACCAAGCAAACATTCCCATCTTGAAACTTAGCATTTACAAGCCAAAGTGGCATACAAAAGTATTCAAAAGTGGATACATGTCTGGTTTGCCAAATCAAAAGGAAAACAGTTCCCAAAAGTACATTTAGGATTTTAATACATGAGCTATACAAAAGATATGTTCAACTAGCTCAATTTGGCAGCCATTTATCAAATCCAGTCCAAAAGTATTTATTTTCCTGTAAGGAAAACAAAAAGGAACAGAAAAGGGTGAGCTTGCGCTCAATGAGGTACCAAACATATAGCAGAAAAATCATGGCATTTCACACTTAACAAATCAGATACACATGCCAGATGTAAAGTAAAGTAACTAATGATTCACATAGGAAGGATACAGGTGGCTCTCAGGAGCCAGCTTTCCAGCGCAGTACTTGATCCAAGCCGGTTGACTCTCCGTCAACGTATATAGAACCAACGTCCGTAGACCCCACTTTACACCGAATCCCGTTCACCAAACACCCCTTTACCGGGCCCGCTCATCGCAAACGAACAGAAATGGTAACACTCGAGTATACCGGAATCAAGGGTCTCAATACCCAAAGATCCCAAAACAGACTACCGTGGTTCGTTATCTAATCGTCCAGGCCCTTGCCGGCCCGACTCGAATAATTTAGCCACAGGATTTGAGCTCATAGGTCACAGACATCCGAACAGATGCAGACACAGATAACAGATTCAAATTTTGCATAGTAAATTGGCATATGAACAGACAAGAGAACGAGTGTGATAAAGTACACCCTCGTCTCAAACAAATTAAACAGATTGCAGAGCAGAAATCAAGTTAAACAGCAATGGAGGGGAGTGGTACACTCACCGATTCAAGTACAGATACCTCAATAGTTTTCACTTCGGATTGGCTTTAATCGCCAAGAAAGCCTAAAATAATCAAAATAAACCAATTGAAGGTTTCATATCCAAAATCGAGTGAACGGAATGCACAAGTGAGGCTCGACTACACGTCGTACGCCTTGCCAAATAAATAGTAATGCAAGGGTGGAAAACATGATTTTCTTGGAAACGAAAAGGTAACATGAAGACTTAAGCGCAAACAACCCAAAAGCCCTTCGCTCAAATCACAAGTAAATCCAAGTAGCCTTTAAGTAAAATTTCGGCAGCATATCCCTTGTGTTTACCTATTTTCCAGCCATCATGGCTTCATTAATTCCTCAAATCAGTCTCAACATCTCACACAAAATTCATCTCATTTCCCAAAAGCCGTTCACTAGGCTCAAAGTAGTACAAGTGCAAAAGTTAGCTAGGAAATGACCGGAATGAAAACAATCCCTAAAACATGCAAACAAATACAAGGAGACTCGATAACGAGTCATAAACCAATGCCAAATATGACCCCAATAGGGTTCCATAAACATATACAAACATTAAAGAAACCTGAAAATTCGAACATGCAATTAACTTTGGCCTTGAAAAAAAAAACAGGTTTTGACTTTACTTTGCGGTAATAGCACCAAATGCACTACGATTATCGGATGAGGGTGCAAGACCCACCATTTCGAAGCTAAAAGACAGGGATACAACTTCACAGAAGGTCACTCAACCCAGTTTTGAGTGCAAACAGGTCAAAAATGCAAGATACTTCATCAACAATGTAAAACAGATTCACCAAAATGCATTCTAGCGGAAACATCATAACTCAGGCTCTACAAGTCCAAATCCAGAAATTCCAAAACCATCTGAAATATAAGAAACAGGGATAAATTTCATCATAAGGCCTCAACAACCAATTCTGAAGCAATTCCAGCCAAAACAACCAATTACAGTCGCAAATCCCAATTTCGGGTAAAACCAGAACAGCAATAGTAATTTTGACTTTTCTCACTCTACGCTACTCCGATTCACCTAAAATTTTGTAGGCACCTCTAAAATGTCATTCTCTACAACTTTCATGTTTTAAGCCAAGGCCAATTCGGCCTCTATCTAGGACCAAAAATTTCGGACAGAATGAAGAACCAAGAACCCTAATTTTCCAGAATTTCTTCCAAAACAGAAATTGATTGTAATTGTCCACTTTTTCCACCTTCTAGATGCCTTATATACCATTTCCAATCATCATATATAGCCACACAATCATGTTCATATTAAAACAGAAAAATCCCCAAAAATAATAAAAGTTCATCAATTCAACCACAACTCAAGATATAACCCATAAATTTGCATCTTATACAACCACTAAGCATGATTTAAGCATCAAATAAGGGAGGAGGGTGGTTCTTCATGACTTACCTTTAAAACAAGAGAGAGAGAGCTATGGGTCACCTCAACCTTCCAAATAACTTCACCAATCACCTCAAAATCACTAAGTGAAGAGGTTTTATGGAACAAAAGTAAGACTAAGTAGTTGTTTTGATGATTTGGAGCAAGATGAAATCAAGAACTTGGAGAGTTTTTTTTCTTCTTCTTGTCAAGAGAGGTTCGGCCACAAGCTTGGAAGAAATGGAAGATTTTTAGTCAATTTTTGGGTTTATGTAATAAATGGTAAAAGGATAAATAGTAAGTCAAATTGAAGATGGAATCTCTAAGTGACACATGTCACTTTCATTAATTACTTGCCTAAATTTTGTCTCTCTCACACCAACCACTTGGTAACCTCTAAATATCTCATAACACCCGATAAAATAATTCCAGTATCCAAAACTTAACCTAGTTGGCCGAAACCTAGTTGGCCGAAATTTTCCGAACTTTTCGCACTAGTAGGTCCCACGTCCGGTATACGTTCTTAATTTCTCAAAATCTATTCGATACTAGAAAAATCATCTAAAAACTATATCTGCTCCTTAAAATTATATAAAAAAAATTTCTAATCACAAAAATGCAGAAAACAAGCCATGAAAAATTCTAAAACCTAGAAAATGAAAATTACGGGTTCTCACAGCTTCACTTCGGATGCAACACATTGGACGCATCGGCCGTCCGAAGGAATTGAAGAGGAACCTCCATGTCTGCATCTTACCCTCGGACGCATGGTGTGAGGGGATCGGACGTCCTAAGTGGTTCAAGAAAATTTCTTGAACTCACTGACCTTGCTCGGACGCATAAAAACTGACTATCGGACATCCGACAGCACCAACGGCTAGTTGACTCTTCAGATGCCTTCTGTCCGTTGACAGCATTAATTGAAGAATTTTTGGTCTCCTATAAAAAGAACAAAGTCAACCACCTCAGAACAACTTTGCACATCAAGTCTACATCAAATCGTGAGTGATTCAAGTGTTAGAATACTCGAAAGCAACACTTGTATTCTTAACTTGTGCAATTTTCTTGTAGCTTTTCAAGTGTGACACAACTTCTTCAATAGTGTAGCATTGTGAGGGTTATCCGAGTGTTTGTAAAACTTCTTTGCTTGATCAAGTGAGGTTTGGGGCAAGAAGGAAGTGATCCTTCCCTTGTACACAAGAAATTGGTTGCAAGATTGTTCAACTTGAAGTAGCTTGTTATATAAAGTGTTGTTCAAACTCAAGTGGAGTTTGAAGCTTGGTTTGTTTCTCTACTTTCATTTATAGTTTTACTATATAAACTGTTCACCTCTTCATCTCACGAACACCTGTGCTTTCTTGTAAACTGATCCATTGAGTGGTCTTTGAGAAAAGAAGGGTAGGCTTGAAAAAGAGTGACCTATATCTTAGTTGGTTTTAGAAAACCTAATTCACCCTCCCTCTTAGGTTGTTTTCGATCCTTACAATTGCTGACTCCCTCTTCCATCTCATGATAGAATCGGACAATTGGCAAGCTGGTGGTCTGCACTTCCACAGCGCAAACATTTTCTCTCCTTCTTCCAGCAATTGTCCTCTGTGTGGTTTGGCTTTCCACAATACCCGCAGGGCCCGCGAGATGCAGAAGCCGAGCCTCCTTGGAAACCTCCTCTTTG